GGGTATGGTAGGCAGAGGGGAGATTGTGAGTTTGAATTGTGACTGTGCTCTATTTACAGATTAGCATGTTTTCAGGCATGTTGGCAAGTTCCTGAGCCTCAGGGTCCTCATCCATACAACATAAATGAGGAAAATACAGTGAGAAGTGGGATGATACATGAGCCCCAGCACTGCATGGGGCTCAGTACATTGTAGCTTCTATTGTGGTTGCTATGTGTGGGCTCATAGATGGCAATCAATATCATCCTAATAGTCAAAGGAAATTTGAAGTCAAATTTCAGAAGATTATGGGTCAACCAGGAGAAAAGTACAAACTCTTCCTCTTTGTTAAGTATCAGCTGATTCAGCATCACCGAGATAACAAATTAGGTCATTTATATGCCTATTCTCTTTTGTAGAAGCCTTTGGCAAAATGTCTCAACAACTGCACAGTCATTTAAATTCTATGACTGTGCCTGTGTAGAATAGTTTACCTATCTCGTCCTCCTACATATACAACTTATATCTTAATTTATGTCTCAGATTATAATAGGTAATTTTGTTTAATCCTGACATTTCTATAGCAAATTTAAATTTCCTATGAGTAATACTAACAAAAACTTTCTAAGAGAAAGGTACCAATATTTAGACCTGTTTTCTTGTTGGTTTTTGGATAGATGCTATGATATTGTAATATAATAAGAAATATTCTACCAATCTGTGAGGCCGAGGCAAGAGAATCAAAAGTTCAAGCCCAGCCTGGGCACCTTGTGATTTAGCAAGACCTTGTCTCAGCATAATAAAAAAGGGCTGGGGGTATAATTCAATGTGAAGGCCCTGGGATCAAATATACATATATCTTCATCCCAAGTCCCTGGCCAGAATTCAAACAACATTTATAACTTCCTAAATGATGAGTGATAGGAATGATCAAAGTACAAAGAGCATCTTGCTATCCATAACAAGCCCCTGTTGATCACACCCGTATTTATGTTCATGAGATGAGTTTTAGACACCCATAAGGATGGGGGAGATGGCTGCTAAGAGAACCAACCATGTGATTAGGGAGCTGGAACTTTCAGCCCTGTCCTAGTTTCCTCTGTCCCCGAATTCTGGAGAGGGAAGGATAGAGATTGGATTTAATGACAATGCCTAAACAAGTCATCATAACTACACAATGCAGCCTGTTTTTTATGCAGCCTGCATTTTAAAAAAAATCAAGGTTTGGAGAGCTTCTCTATGCTGCTAAACTTGTGGGAGTATTGGGAGGGTGCTGTCCCAGAAGAGGGCACGGAAGTTCCACCCCTCCTCCATGCCTTGCCCTCTGCATCTCTTCCACTTATTGTATCCTTGGCAATAAACTGGTTAACAAGTAAATGCTTTCCTGAGTTTTCCCTAACAAATTATAGGACCCAAGAAGAGGGTGGTTGGAATCACCAATTTTAGCTCATCACTCATAAGTTTTGGAGGTATATCTATAAGATTGACATCTGATCTTATTGAACTAAGTATGAACCTGTGGGTGTGATACTAACTCTAGCTAGATAGTGTTGGAATTGAATTATATTGTAGAATACCCAGTTGGTATCTCCAGAGAATTGAATTGCTTAGTGTGGAAATTCTATACACTTGCTGTCCAAAGTGTTGAGTGAGCATATAAAGAGAAACAAAGTTTCCTATTAGATGGTTTCAGAAAATGAACATGGTATGCCCATTTCATACCAGCTAGAGTTGGTTACATCTTAGTAATGACTGTCTTTCATGCCAAGTTATGATTTTATATTGAGATGATTAAGCCAGATGATTGCATCTAGGGAGCAGAAAATACTGTTATAATGTTACTTTGCAGTTACAAATTACTCATTGAATTTATCACTAACTGTGCAGCATAATTTTAAATTTTCCCTATTTGATCAACTGTCACAGGTTATAGTAGATATCTACAATCGTGTAACCGACTACCCCAAAATGTAATTGAAACAACATTTATTATCTTAGATTCATTTCCAGGTCAGAAATTCATGTACAGTACCTGAATCCCCTTTGGTGCAGGGTCTTCCGTGAGGCTGTGCTGAAGGAGTGGGCTAGGGATACAGGTATCTCAAGTCTCCTGTGAGACCAGCGCACTCACGTGGCTGTTGGTGGCCTCAGTTGCACGCTAGCTATTGGCGAGCAACTCCAGTAGGCTGCTCACAACACAGCAACCTCCTTTCAGGGCCAGGCCTCTGAGAGGAAATTAGTGAGAATACAGAGAGAAAGGGTGAGCAAGACAGAAGCTACTCTGCTTTTTTGTAGCCTACTTCTGGAAATGACATCCCATCATTGTGTGATATTCTGTTACAAGCAAGTCACCAGGGCCAGCCCCACATCTGGGGGAAGGGAATCACTGAGATCAGCTTAGAAGCCACCAGCCTCACAGCAATGCCCATTTAAAACACTGCTTCTCAAACTAACGCTGGGGAAGAATGAACTGTTTTCTTTAATTCCCAATTTATTGTAGGTCAGTATATTTGTAAAACAAAATAGAAGTTCATTTATAGAAAATAAAAGTGAAAGCATAAAAAACAAATCCTCAGATCACACACTGGATCTCATAACAAAGTCAAATTGCTACCAAAATGTCTAAATACTCTCAATTGATTATAGTAAGCCTTCCATGTCTGCATTTGTGGATTCAACCAAGTGTGGATTGAAAGTATTCGAAAGAAATTGTATTGTATGAACTTTTTTCTTGTCATTTGGCCCCTAAAAAGTACAACATAACAATTTTACAGCACTGACATTGTGCCATGTATTATAAGTGAGATGATTTAATGTATATGGGAGAATGTACACAAGATATACTACTCCATCTTATACCAGGGACTTAAACATTTAAAGGTTTCCACATCTAAGGAGAGGCCTGAAACACCCTACCAATAACAAGGGACAGCTTGTTTCTGGATCAGAAATAGTTTTCAGACTGGTACCAATTTTAGATCATTCACTGGGTAGCATCAATGTATTTTATAAATACAGATGACTTTTTGAAGTTTTACAAAACAGTGGTACATTTCACTTGGCTATTTTACCTTGGTTTTTAGAAAATCTAAATAGAAATCCTTCCTTCAAGCCAGGTGTGGTGGTGCACGCCTGTAATACCAGTACTAAGGAGGCTGAGGCAGGAGGATTGCTGGGAGTTAGAAGCCAACCAGAACTGCATAGAAGACCCTGTCTCAAAAAAAAAGCTTGAATGTTCCTCCTGATCCTAGTCTATTCAGATTTCCTCAAACATCGCAAGTATAACCTCTTCAATTCAACTGAAAGAGGAACATTTTTTTTGAGCATTAACTCTGAGTGTATCCTTTTTCCTATTTCTAATTTTCACGCTTATATCAATTCTCCTGAATACTTCAAAAACAAAGCATTTCCACTCCATACCCTTCATGGCCTTCAGCACAGCATCAGCAGTTAGTAGGTCCTCAGCAAGAACCTGAATGCGGCATGTATTTACCGAACCAAGATCCAGAGTTCCCTGGGCAGAGATGAAGTGCTGTAGACTTGGCTTCTGTCCAAATATTGCCCAGGGAGCAACTTTCTTCATCCTCTTGACCACAGCTACCCATCATCCAAGACTTAAAACAGAAGCAACTTTAAGAACACTGTTTCTGCTGCTCTGGCCCTTGCTAAGCAAATCCAAAGCTCTTCCAACCATGTTAGCCCCAAGACAGAGAAAAGAAAATCAGGCAGAGGAAGGAGCCTGAAAAAAGTCTTTGTACCCAGCTGTCAACCCTCAGCTAGGCATCCCCTTCTCACCGAGGAACTGAGTGAGGCTTGGTAAAAGCTACATTTCAACGCCTGACGCTAGGTCCTGTGCGTGCACAAAAATCAACCAAACAGGTTTCTTACATTAAAGAATTTGTGATGGACAAATTAGACCAATCCTCAGTTACTGCAAAATACAAAACAGAATGGACCAAGGGATGTGATGTTGGCAGATGTAGGAAGTACTGTGGGAGAACAGATTGGAAGAGATTAACTCCAGTCTGTGAAACTCCAGAGGAGGTAGCTTTGGGGCTAAACCTTGGAAGATGGGAAATAAAAACAACGGGTAATTGAAAGCACTTCCTATCTACCCAGTGCTGGGGTTGGTGTTTTACACGCATTATCTCATCTGTAACTCACAAAAGATCTGAGAAAGTGTTAGTCTCATTTTATACTGAGGAAACTGAGACAGAGTGAGTAAGCAATTTGCCCAAGGTCCAGCCTAGGAAACAGTGGATGCTAGATTTGAACACACTCTTATGCCTGAAAACTGATGCACTGAACCCTCCCTTAAGGAGCAAAAGCTGCAACGAGCTTTTGCTCCTTAAGGGAGGTAGACAGACGACTACCAACCTGCAGAGCTCGCCTAGGGAACAGTCAGAAGTCTGAGGCTGTGCACGGAGTGGACACGTGTGAATAATATTGTTCAATCCCAATGGCAGCTTGGAATTTATACGTCAAATTCTGGATTTTATGTATATATCATCCGATCTCACCATAAGCTTGTTTTACAGATGTTATTATTCCATTTTATAGATAAGGGAATTGTAACTCAAGGAGGAATCACAACTGGCTGGTGGTAGACTGGGATCTAAATACAGGGGACAGGTCCTAAGCCTACTCCTAACTCTTACTAATGTGCCACCCAAGAGTCCTCTGGAGGGTGAAAGCCTTTGCAAGCCACCAGAGGCCTCAAAGCTGCTCATCAGCTTCCTGGTACTTACTAGTGTACACACCCTGTCATTTCCCACTTACTCTTGTTCCATCTCTCTCACCCGGGGCTTTTGGCCAGGATGGCCCGGGTCAGTGCCAGGGTTGCCAAGGACCACTAAATCCCCTGAAGAACTTTTATTCCCAGAAAGCTTTGCGTTCCCAGCATAAAGAGACCCGGAGCCGGCAGCCCCGCCCCGCAAGCCCCTCCCACAGCGTGATTGGGGGCGGACCAGTGGGCGGGCCCGTGGGCGGAGCGTGCGCAGCGCTCTGGCGGGCGGGCTCAGTGTGCAGGTGGCTCCTCCTCCACCTCGCCCGAACCCGGACCGCGCCAGGCCTCAAGCTTGCTGCCTGGAGACGCCTTTGTGCCTGGCTCAGGGAGCCCGCGACGCCCCCTACACGCCCGGGCGCACTGTTCCGCTTCCCAACCCCTTGGGTACCGGCGGTGCGCGGGACCCGAACGCGACCGGAGCAGCGTTGGGACCCGAGGGCGCGGCAGGGGCGCCCCCGGCGCTAGGTGGGCGATGAAGCTCCTGAAGCCCTGGGGGGCGGCAGGGGGCGGCTTTCTGCACCTTACCATCCTACTGAGTTTAGCTGGGCTCCGGGTGGACCTGGACCTAGACCTCTACCTGCTGCCGCCGCCGCCCGCCGTATTCCGCGACGAGCTGCTGCCCCTAGGCGGCCCGGCACACCCCGCCCACGCGATCACCCCCTTCCCTGCCTCCGGCGGGTGGGGGCGCGCCGGCCCCCTGCACCCCAAAACCCGGGAGCTGGATCCCGCGGCGCCTCTCGAGGGCCACCTGCTCCGGGAGGTGCGCGCACTCGGGGTCCCCTTCATCCCGCGCACCCGAGTGGACGCGTGGTTGGTGCATGGCGTGGCGGACGGGGACACAGACCGGAGCCATGGGCTACTGAGCGCCGCTGCCTCGTCTGCCGCAGGAACCGGCGCCGGCGTGGATGGCAGCAGCCAGGAAGAGCCCGGGGGCGACGGGGAGCGCCGAACGGTACGCGACAGCCCTTTGGCGGCCGAGGAGGAGGAGAAGGCAGCCGCAGAGCCGGTGGCGCAGGTGCCTGTCGCCAGTGGACGCACGAGCCAGGTAACCCGAGAGCGGGACGCGCGCGACTAGGGGCGTCGCTGCGCTCGGAGACCGAGGAGGACCGATGCTTAGCTCCTGGAAAGCTGTACAGCGCTCTACGCCTCGTTTTGGGGAATCCGAATGAAGTATTAGTGCTGTTAATAGGGTTTTTAGGCTTGCGGAGACGGGGGAGCTTTTTTCGGTAGCGTGGATCGAACACAGGGGCTCTGTAACATTGAGGTGCATCTCCAACCCTATTTATTTTTATTTCGAGACAGTGACTAAGTTGCCCTTGCAAGGCTCGAATGTGCAATCCTCCTGCCTCAGCCTCCTGAGTAGCTGGAGCTACAACACTACGTCCAGCTTCTTTAGGTTTATGAGAAACAGATGAATGCATCCGCAGACAACACCTTTCCACAGTGTACTTGGTGGCTGACAAAAGTGGTTGAGGTGGTTGAAGGATACTTTACTTTTCTTGCCTGCTGTCTTAATTCAGTGACTCAGTTGCCTTTCCTTGGACTCTGTGCCATCCTAGGGGATCAGAGGTGGCAGTGGCCTCTCAGAAGATGCACATGCCCTTTGGTCTGGCAGCCGAAAGCCTTCGCCCTGAGTGTAACCCAGTAGTAGCTTGTGTTGTTTTCCTGAAGTAAAAAGCAGTGATAATACTACCAGCCGGCCTCCTCTGAAACACGGGAGGTTTGATAGAGAGGAAAAAGACTATTTAAAGCTACCTCGGAAATGGAGGGGTCTTACTTCACCACAAATCATCGCCTCTCTGTGTCCAGATGTGCCTGGGTCTTTTATAGTGAGGAACAGGACGGACAGGGACCAGGATGAGACAGTAGACAGCTCTGGGTGTGTTTCATCCCTCCCAGCCGTTTTCCTCTCCCTCCTTTCCCTGTGCCCTGACCAGTAGTACCTGCGGCTATTCTGTGTGTTCCTCTGGGCTGAAGACTGGAGCGGGGAGGGAGTGGTTTGCACACCCCTTAGAGACCCTAGGAAGTTTGGAGAAGCTGCCTATCTCTAAAGAAGTATCCCTGTTTGGCCGCAGTCCTGGGGATTGAGCCCAGGGCCACCTTTGTGCTAGGAATGTGCTCTCCCACTGAGCTAACTCTCCAGCCCTGAAAGCTTCCAGTTTTTAAAATGCCATTTTACTTTGCCAGTCATAGTGTCCACTTCAGGGCCAGCCACGGAGTTTATTTCACCTCTGAAACCCAAGGGAACTTTGCCTCAGGCAACTGTAAGGGTCCCTACTTTCTGTATGCTAATACGGAGTTTCTCAAATTCTAGGAGGAAGCCCTGCTAGGTAGAGAGCATGTTGGGTCACAGCTTTTTCTGCACCAAGTTCACCAAGATCTGGCCTATTCAAATATCTAATGTTTCCCTTTTCAAACTACTGTATCCAGAGTTGTGGACCTGGAAGCTTATAAAATTCGTGGTTGGCCCAAATAACTGTTGGGGATGAACAAGTGTTCCTTGGCTGTTCATTTTGTGCAGTGCAGTGTTATGCCAAATGGGAATTGGGGCTAAACTGGTTTGCAGCTCTTCCGAATCGCCCTGTTTGTGTAGGCAGTTGCCAGACGGGCTTCCCCACCCTTTCCTGGAGGGGTCATTGTGTGAAGTGATGGGTGATTCACTGGTAGGCTGATCCCTTTCCCCTCCTGCGGACTGGAACTGAAGGGGCTGGGGTTTGTGCTTGTCTAGGTGGAACACCCCACCCCCCCTTTACTCACTTTTCCCTGTGGGCCCCTCTCACCTAATGTGAGCTACCTGCTGCCCTCTTCCCTCCTGGGTTCTGTAACTTAAGATTGAAACAAGTGCTGAATGCTGTAGGCAGATGGCACCCCCCAAGAGAGTACTGGGAGCTGGAGGGAGCCAGGCTGTTTGCTTTGAGGACTCCTGCATCATCTGTCCGACACACATTTGGACTGGCAGGGTGGTCTTGGAGAAGGCTCTGGGGGCCGGCAGGCTTGTTTAGGCTTCCCTGGAAGAGGCAGTTCTATTTTCTAAGGGCTGTTTTGGCGGTGCTCTCCTGGGGGAGAGCATTGCAGGCACAGGCACCTACTGGGCTCCCTTGGTTCTCTTCACTCCTTGGTTCTGTTCACTCTGGCAGGGATCAGCTGTGGAGCACCTTAGAATTTTCACAGCTCATTTCTCTTCGTTAGTGATTATCTTTTATTTACATCAGCCTTGTGAGGTGTGCAGAGCAGGCATCTTTCTATCCAAAGCTTCCTTAAAGGAAGTATGTTGAAGCAAGATTAGGGGACCCGGCTAAAGGCATATATTATTAAACACCAGAAGTGGGACGGCATCCTACCTCTCAGACTAGCATATTAATTAAGCAGCTTGCACTGTACAACTCAGTCTGTCCCCTGGCCTCAGGACAACTGTTGTCTGATACTGGATTGATTTTTTAAAAGCAGATTGTATAATCTTATAAAGAAGACTATGACTTGGGGGTGAGTAGACTTTGAAATTAGAGAGGCCTGGGTTAGTCACTTATTAGCACTCCCTCCCATGGGTTATTTTGAGCACTCCAAGGCTCCGTGTCTGCCGTGTCAAGTGGGAGAGTGATGTTTACCCTGGAGGATGTTGTGCTGATTAAGTGAGCACAGCATTGCCAAGTGCCAGCACAGTGCCTGGATTATGACGGATCTCTCACTTTGTTCTCCACTCTCAACCCTTCACCTGGCCCCATTCACTTTACTTCTTTTTGGCTTGACTACAGGTCCATCTTGGAGTTGATAGTAGTTAGTGTTGAGGTGTGTAGGAGTACTGAATCTCAGTTCTTCCACTTACCATGAATGGGTTTGTTGCCTTCTTTGTTTCATTCTTCTCACTGCACAATGAGACTGATCGAGGTGCCTGCCCTCTAAAGTTAGAAATTCATTGAACATAAATGCCTTAGCACTGCACATGTCATAAGTGCTTAATAAATATTAGCTGTTGTTCACTTGGGAGAGAGACAGTGTGTTGCTGTGTAGGACATCACAGATGGTAGTTTTTTAGAAAAGACAATTCTAGTGGCTTACACTTAAGTTATAAGAAATTCTAGTGTTAGCGTACTGTTTCTGTACATGTGCTGGAGTATTTTGGAGTGGGAGATTTTCCAAGTATCAGAAGAAGTACTGCGTTGGTTTCACTTCTTAATGGAAGTGAAGCTACACATTTGCTGAAAAAGACTCTGGAACTTCCCAGGGTCAAGAAGCTTTCTTTTACCACCAGAGCTGTTCGCTTCAAATCCATGAAGCACGTGTCTTTCAAAGTAATGTGTGAATTAAACCAAGAAATGAAGTTTCGTAGAAGTGAATGTGTGAACATAATTTGAGGATGGGTGGCTGCCTACAACCAGCATCAATTTTCAAAGCCCTTGCCACTGGAAACTGAGCGGGTTTATAGTCTTCTTGATGTGGTCTGAGGCCCAGTGACATTGACCCTCTGCTGGGTGGAGAAGTTCCCTAAGACCTCTTGATTTACTGCCTGTTGCTTTAGTTTCGTTTCTTCAGGTCACAGAAAGAATCTGACAGTGTAAATACGTTTAATTTTTATTTAGTTATTTTTGTGGTACTAGGGATGGAAACTAGGGCCTTTCAGTGGAGCTCTGCATCCCCGAGCTTTTCATGTGTTTGTTTTGACACAGAGTTTCACTAAGGGACCAAGTGGCCCAAGCTGGGCTCCAACTTGGATTTCTGCTTTGGCCTCTCACGGTGTTGTAGAGGTTTGTGCCACCACACTTGGCTTCAATATTTAATTCCAAGAGTAAAGGGAAAAGAGATGGTCCTTGGATGGTTTTTCTTTTATTACACTTTATTAGTGTGTATAAATATTATATATGAGATTTATTTTGGGAAGTTGACACACACTAAGCACTAAAAGATGGCAAGTTGTGTTTTATTTCAATGCAAAGACTAAGCCCCAGGCCTTGCACGCTTGGCAAGTGTTCGCCACTGAGCTACACCCAAATTTGCTTTTTGTTTTAAAATCAAGATAATCTCTAATGCCTGGGCATTTGGACAGAGATAAATTTTTTCTCTCTAAATTCAGAGATGACTTGCCTGTCTTTAAGTCAGTTTTAATACAAAAATAGTCTAATAATTACAGACACTGCAGGATAGCAGAGTATCATAGTAGGGCTTTCACTTTGCTTATGAAAGGGCATTGTAAAGGTGTCCTTCCGGTGTTCATATGGGAAAAGATGGCATAAGTCACTGTTGGTGTGCCAGGGCTGCCATTACAAAATGCCACGGATCAGGTGGCTTAGGCAGAACTTTACTGTCTCACAGCTGAGCAGTTGGGCAAGAATTCCAAGATCAAGGTGTCTGCAGGGTTGGTTCCTTCCAGGACTGTGAGGAGGAAGGTGTTCATAACAGTCTCCTGCTTTTTGGTAGTTGGCCATGGGTCTTTTCAGGCATCTTTGTCTTCTGCTATGTCACCCCAGTGCCTGCCTTCAGTGTCACATGACAGCCTCTGTATATGCTATCTGTTCCCTTGTAAAAACATCAGTTACACAGGATAAGGGGCTATTTTGCCCCCTTAATTTACCTAATTATATCTGTAGTTACCTAGGTTCCAAATAAGATTGGAGTTAGGACTTCAACTTACCAATTTTGTGTTTCTGTTTTTGATTTTTGGTGTTTTGAAATAAAATGTTGCCGTGTAGTCCGAGCTGGCCTCAAACTCACTGTGTAGTCCAGGCTGACCTCAAACCTCCCAAGTACTGGAATTACAGGTGTGCACCATCACCCCCAGCCAACATAAAGAGTTTTTGAAGGACAGAATTCATCCTGTAATACCATCGTCCTTCTGTCTCCTCTTGGGGTGTTCAGCTTGCTTAGCTCCAAACACTAAAGGCAGAGTCAACTGTTTCTAGGAGCAGCTGGTCTCTGGGTAGGACCGTTGGCAGTAGGACATGGTATGTACTCATGAAGAAACTTGGGATGTTGCTATCTTGATGTGCAAACTTGGGAGCCTTAGTTCATACTGTCTTTTTTCCAATCAGTGCTTCATTTCAACTGGTAGAT